TCCACTCTGCAACTGACCAACTCTACGACCGAATCTCTCCCCTGTCCTGCCCTGACCTGGCCACTACTGTCTACAACAGTTCGCTTTCATCCACATTAGACTCACTTGCTCCTCTAACAACACGAAGCATCAGGCCCCGACCATTACAACCTTGGCAGACTGACGTCACCAGAAATCTTAAGAGACTTAGTAGTGCGCTGGAGCAATTGTTGCGTAAAACCAAATCTCACCAAGCATTCACCCTATATAAATCTGCTTTCTTAACATACAATTCCTCCCTCCTTGCTGCCAAACAAGCCTACTTTGTCACTCTTATTAATAGCTAAACTCCTAGAACGCTTAGTCTACAATCACCTGAGCTCCTACCTCACTGACAACCTTCTTGACCCTTCACAGTCTGGCTTTCTCTCACTACACTCCACTGAAACTGCCCTACTAAAACTCACTAAATGATCTACTAACTGCTAAAACCAATGGCCACTACTCCATACTCTTACTACTTGACCTCTCTGCAGCCTTTTGATACAGTTGACCATCCCCTCCTCCTCAAAAAACTCCACTCTCTTGGCCTCCGAGACTCTGCTCTCTCCTTGTTCTCCTCCTACCTATTGCAGCGCTCCTTCAGCGTTACCTATAACTCTGCCTCCTCCTCTTCACTCCCTCTTTCTGTAGGGGTCCCTCACGGTTCCGTCTTTGGCCCCCTACTCTTCTCCATCTACACCTCCTCCCTTGATCACTTGATAAACTCCCATGGCTCTATGCTGATGACACACAATCTATCTTTCTACTCCTCACCTCACCCCTTCAGTCTCCTCACGCATTACTAACCTACTAAGCAACATATCGGCATGGATGTCACTCCACTTCCTCAAACTCAATCTTTCCAAAACTGAGCTCTTAGTAAACCCCCAGCCCGTGCCCCCTCCCCTGACTTCTCCATCAAGATCAATAACACAATCATCAGTCCCTCCCCTACCCACCCTGGGTACTAGGTGTAATCCTAGACTCCCATCTGTCCTTTCAGTCCCAAATCCAATCGCTGTCCAAATCTTGTAGACTTCACCTCCGCAACATCTCCAAGATACGGCCGTTCTTAATCTCGGAAACCACTAAGCAACTCATTCACTCCCTTGTTATCTCTCGCCTTGACTACTGTAACTCCCTCCTCATTGGCCTACCTCATCACAGGCTATCCGCTCTTCAGTCTATCATGAATGCTGCTGCCAGACTCATCCACCTTACTAACCGTTCTGTATCAGCCACCCCTCTCTGCCAATCCCTCCACTGGCTTCCCATTGCCCAACGGATAAAATTCAAAACATTAACAATAACATATAAAGCCATTTAAAACTCTGCCCCAAATTACATCACGATCTTGTCTCAAAATATCACCCAGACCATACTCTCCGCTCCTCACAATACCTCCTGCCCTCCAACTCCCTTGGCTCCTCCTCCCATGCTCGTCTCCAGGACTTCTCCAGAGCTTCCCCCATCCTCTGGAACTCTCTGCCCCAATTTATTAGACTATCGCCTACTCTGCTCTCTTTTAGGTGATCTCTGAAAACCTATCTCTTCCGGGAAGCCTATCCTGCCCTCAGCTAATAATGGAATCTTCTACTTTTCCTACCAGTCCATCCCCCACAATTACTACCTTTTGTACCACTAGCCCCTCCCTCTTAGATTGTAAGCTCCAAGGAGCAGGGCCCTCCTATCCCTCTTGTATTGAACTGTATTGTTGCTGTATTGTCTCCCATTATATTGTAAAACGCTGAGTAAACTGTTGGCGCTATATAAATCCTGTATAATAATAATAATTATAAGATCATTTAGACACTTTTATTGTGAAATATGATGCAAAAAGAATTGTACGTTTAGAATTTCAGATGTCCTCAAGTATAGAGTCCGAAGAGATGCAAAGAATTATAGAGCTGGCCATACTGTTTACAGTACATCCAGAAAATATTCACAGCGCTTAACTTTTGCCACATTTTGTTATGTTACAGCCTTATTCCAAAATGGATTAAATTTATTTTTTTCCTCAACATTCTACAAACAATATCCCATAATGACAACGTGAAAGAAGTTTGTTTTGAAATCTTTGCAATTTATTAAAAATAAAAAATGAAAAAAAAAAACCCACATGTACATAAGTATTCAGAGCCTTTGCCATGACACTCAAAATTGAGCTCTGGTGCATCCTGTTCCCACTGATCATCCTTGAGATGTTTCCACAACGTGATTGGAGTCCACCTGTGGGAAATTCAGTTGATTGGACATGATTAGGAAAGGCATAAACCTGTCTATATAAGGTCCCACAGTTAACAGTGCATGTCAGAGCACAAACCAAGCCATGAAGTCCAAGGAATTGTCCATAGACCTCCGAGACAGAATTGTATCAAGGCACAGATCTGGAGAAGGGTACAGAAAATAATCTGCAGCATTGAAGGTCCCAATGAGTACAGTGGCCTCCATCATCCGTAAATGGAAGAAGTTTGGAACCACCAGGAATCTTCCTAGAGCGGGACGCCCGGCCAAAATGAGCGATCGAGGGAGAAGAGCCTTAGCCAGGAAGGTAACCAAGCAACTGATGGTCACTCTGAAAGAGCTCCAGCGTTTCTCTGTGGAGAGAGGAGAACCTTCCAGAAGAACAACCATCTCTGCACACTGCAGCACTCCACCAATCAGGCCTGTAGGGTAGAGTGGCCAAATGGAAGTCACTCCTCAGTAAAAGGCAAATGACAGCCCGCCTGGAGTTTGCCAAAAGGCACCTGAGGGACTCTCAGCCCATGAGAAACAAAACTCTCTGGTCTGATGAAACAAAGATTGAACTCTTTGGCCTGAATGCCAAGCGTCATGTCTGGAGGAAACCGGGCACCGCTCACCACCTGGCCAATACCATCCCTACAGTGAAGCATGATGGTGGCAACATCATGCTGTGGGGATGTTTTTCAGAGGCAGGAACTGGGAGACTAGTCAGGATCGATGGAAAGATGAATGCAGCAATGCACAGAGACATCCTTGATGAAAACCTGTTCCAGAGTGCTCTGGATTTTAGACTGGGGTGACGATTCATATTTCAACAGGACAACAACCCTAAGCACACAGCCCACATAAAGAAGTGGCTACGGGCCAACTCTGTAAATGTCCTGGAGTGGCCCAGCCAGAGCCAAGACTTGAACCTGATTGAACATCTCTGGAGAGATCTGAAAATGGCTGTGCACTGACGCTCCCCATCCAATCTGATGGAGCTTGACAGGTACTGCAAAGAAGAATGGGAGAAATTGCCCAAAAATAGGTGTGCCAAGCTTGTAGCATCATACTCAAAAAAACAACGTGAGGCTGTAATTGGTGCTAAAGGTGCTTCAACAAAGTATCGAGCAAAGGCTGTGAATACTTATGTGCATGTGGCTTTTATAGTTTTTTTAATAAATTTATTTTTAATAAATTGCAAAGATTTTCAAAACAAACTTTTTTCACGTTGTTATTAAGGGGTATTGTTTGAAGAATGTTGAGGTAAAAAATGAATGTAATCCATTTTGGAATAAGGCTGTAACATAACAAAATGTGGTAAAAGTTAAGCGCTGTGAATACTTTCTGGATGCACTGTATACCCTGCTGATGGCGTTTGTACTCCAAAGTGTCTTTGGGGATGGTCCTCTAACATCAACAATGGAGCATCTTTTCTTCAACTGACACCAATGCTGGGGCACTATTCCTCCCACTAATACCAATAATGGTGCACTGTTCCTCCCACTGACACCTACAATGTGACACCATTCCTTCCACTGACAACAACACTGGTCCACTATTGCTTCCACTGACACCAATAATGGAGTACTATTCTTTTCACTGACATAAATGACGGGACACTATTTCTACCACTGACATCAATGATGGGACATTATTCTTGCTACTAACACCAATGATGGGGAGCTATTCCTGCCCCTAATACCAAAGATGGGGCATTGTTTACTCCAAGTGACCCCAGGACATTTTCTGCTCCTACTGGCCGCAGTCTGCCCCCCTAAAATCTGAAGGACAGAAAACTGGCCCTTTGTTTAGAAAGCTTAGAGATCCTTGCTCTAAACAAATAGAGTTGACTTGACAATACGGAGGCAATAAAAGGAGCATTCCTGACAATATCTGGATACCTGACAATACTAATACCTGAATATTATTTTTAAAGTGAATTTTCACCACATTCACTAAGCTCTGGGGAATATTCCCTTGCAAAATGCAAATTCCTTTGCAAAGTGAACAACCTCTTTGCCTTTAGCAAATCAACCCCTTTGTGTCTACTAAGTGGATCCTTGTGAATATCTGCTTGAGTGGAATTATTCCTATTTACATATTCATTGCTTTGCTGAGCTTGTCTAAACTGAATCCTTGAATATAGTTAGCTAAGTTGAATGTTGCTGCCCTGTTTGATGCTTTATGGTGTGTTTTTTTTTACTTTAAATTGATATTAACCACCAGCCTATAGGGCACTTATACCCTCTTCCTGCCCAGGCCAATTTTCAGCTTTCAGCGCTGTCGCACTTTGAATGACAATTGCGCAGTCATGCAACATTGTACTCATATGAAATTTTTAGCATTTTTTTGAAACAGATAGAGATTTCTTTTGATGGTATTTAATCACCTCTGGGTTATTTTTTGCTAAACAAACCAAAAACACCTGAAAATTTTGGAAAAAAAAGTTTTTTCTTAGTTTTTGTTTTAAAATTTTGTAAATAAGTGATTTTTCTCCTTCACTGGTGTGCACTAATGAGGCTGCAGTGATGGGCACTGATAGGCTGCACTGATGGGCACTGATAGGTGGCACTGATGGGAACTGATGAGGAGGCACTGGTAGGTGGCACTGATGGGCATTGACAGGCATCTCTGATGGGCACTCATATATGGCACTAATAGGTGGCACTGATAGGTGGCACTGACTGGCATTGATAAGCGGCATTGACTGGCACTGTTAGGTGGCACTGACTGGCACTGTTAGGCGGCACTGATAGGAAGCACTGATGGGCACTGATAGGCGGCACTGATGCGCACTGATTGGTGGCACTGACTGGCACTGATAGGTGGCACTGACTGGCAGTTATAGGTGGCACTGATTGGCAGCACTGATAGGTGGCACTGACTGGCATTGATAGGTGGCACTGACTGGCACTGATAGGTGGCACTGACTGGCACTGATAGGTGACACTGAAAGGCAGCTCAGATGGGCACTGATGTGCACTGGTAGGCACTGATATGTGGCACTGATGGCACTGGCAGGTGGCATTGATGGACACTGACAGGTGGCACTGCTGGGGCTACACTAATCATCAGTGATCTGATTATCTATGTTGATGTCCCCTCTGAGGAATGCCGATTACTGGCTCTCCTCTCGAGTTGTCAGCGTGATAGCTCGTGAGGAGATAAATGCTGATAACCGGCATTTCCCTATTTACATGCAGTCCGCTGTGATTGATCACCAAGCTGACATCTTCGACTCTTTCCATTGATCGGTGATCCGCTGTGTCCGAGGAACATAGCGCACCACCGATCGCCGCGCTGCATGCCCTAGGAGCCGCGTACATGCGGTTAGAGTGGGAGGATGTCATATGACGTCCTCCCAGAATGAGAGAACCGCCTTGCGCCCATCATTTTCTTATATGGTGGGAGGGAGGCAGTTAAAGACAATTAAAAAAATAAATAACAAACACATCATACTTACCTGCTCTGTGTAGTGATTTTGCACAGTGCAGCCCCAATCCTCCTTTTCTTGGGTCTCCCGTCGGTGCTTCTGGCACCTTTCTCCTGCCCCCAGAGCAAGTAACTGGCTATGGGGGCACCCAAGCAGGCTCACTCCTGAGCCGCTGTTCTGCATGTCCATTCATACACTCAGCCCCGCCCCCTCTGACCTCATTGGCTTACTGGCTGTGATTGACAGCAGTGGGAGAGCCGAGGCTTTTGTGCACATCGCTGGATCGTGATGAGGCTCAGGTAAGTAATGGGGGGGGGGGCTGCTGCACACAGAAATTTTTTTACCTTTATGCAGGGAATATCAGAGTTGAGAGGCTCTGCAGACCAGCCCTCTGAAATTTCTCTCCACTCTAGAACTTTCGAGAAAGGTCTAGAAGCAGTGGGTGGATCTGAGTAGTGGCTAGTCTGTACTCTTGGAGGATCCTGGCCAGACCCCAACAGGAGGCTTGGCAAGGGACCAGATCAACCTTTAAGAGTAACGGAGCCTGCTTAGCAGCAGGAGAGTGGGAGGGGGCCCAGATGGGAGAAGGACCTGGGAAGGCTGAAAGCTTAGGACTTCACCGGCCTTCTTAGGACCACTTATGTGGCAGGGATGATACGCCCCAGCTAGAAGGCCTGGTAGCAGCCACAAACCCAATGGCAACACAGAAGATGGACTAAGTGAGTACACCTGCACCCCTTGGGCCAGATAGGTGAAGGAGGCACTCAGGACTGTTTCACTATTTGTGTGGCAGACACCGGATCCCCTGCTCAGGGATTTCTCCAGACAGCTAGGTAAAGAAAATGATTTATCTGGGATCTGGGGAGGTACTACAAGAGCTGCTGACTAGCTCTCCAAAAGAGACTGATTGCTGCAACCACTTGTACAAAGTTCAGGAATTTCTCCTGAGTTTCTCAGTTCCATTGGACATCCCGTACATCCCATACTCCATCCAAGTTGAAATTCCCCTAATAAACATAAAAAACAAGCTCAAGGACTGGTTACTGACTTCTGAGTGCAGGTTGGTGTGGAAATATGTTGCCTGGCTGTGCAGGACTATAGGTGGACCCAAAACGTCAGCAACTCCTGAGGGAGTAGTGCTACAGAAATTAAAAAAAAAAACATTTTTGCTTGCTTTTGATCTGGTGATGGAATTCAGCAGAATTTCCCCTCATTTTGTAAGCTCTGGATCAACTGCACTTGCAGAGTACACAGTCTGTTTGCCGTTAGTAAATCAACCCCCTTTTCTCCCTCTGACACCAAAGATAAAGGCAACATACTTCCTACTAACACCAACAATGAGGCACTATTCTTCCCACTGACAACAAGTATGATGCACTTTTCCTCCCACTGACACCAAAGATGGGGCACTATTCTTCTCACTGACACCAAAGATGTGGCACTATCCCTCCTACTGACACCAATGAGGAGGCACTATTACACCTCCTACTAACCACAATTGCTATGTCATCCTTTTTATTCCCACAAAGTGTTATTTCTTCAGTGTTGTCACATGAAAAGATATAATAAAATATTTACAAAAATGTGAGGAGTGTACTCACTTCTGTGAGATACTGTACATGATTTAGCATTTCTGGGTAGAGGGGCGTGTGCGATCCACACATGCGCCCTACCCATGCCGCCATTCACAGCCTCGGCTGTTAAGCACCAGGTCCCGGCTGGTGATTACCCGCCGGCGCCCGGTGATTACCGAGCATCTCCGATGGGGAGGAGGACTGTTTTGTTTACTAACTGTCCTCTTGCCTGTCAGCTCGGGCACACAGCACAGCCATCCAAAACAGTGTGCTTACAGTGAAGCGCACTGACACAGCCCCCATAGTAAAACACTCCCTACACACAGTTAACCCTTTGATCGCCCCTAATGTTAACCCCTTCCTGCCCAGTGCCATTAGTACAGTGTCAGTGCTTTTTTTTTTAGCACTGATCACTGTATAGGTGTCACTGGGGATGTCAGTGACACCAAGTCAGTTCCCCTCAGTGTCAAAATGTCCGTTGTAGTCCCACTATAAGTTGCTGATTGCCGCTATTACTAGTAAAAAAAATAAATAATTCCATTATCTATACTGCTATTTGTAAATGCTATAACTGTCAAGTAACGCAATTAATTTACACGTATTGGGTTTCTTTTAAGCAAAGACATGTAGCAGAATACATTTTGGCTTAAATTTATGACAAAATTAGATTTTTAAAATTTTTTCTTGGAAAAGATGAATAGCAAAAAGTCAAAAATATAGTTTTTTTTCTCAAACTTGTTGGTCTATTTTTTTTGTAGCACAAAAAATAAAAAATGCACAGGCAATAAAATACCATAGAAAGAAAGCTCAATTCATGGGGAAAAAAGGATGTAAATTTTATTTGGGTGCAGTGTTGCATGACTGCGCAATCATCAGTTAAAGTAATGCAGCGCCGTAACGTAAAAAATGGCCTGGTCATGAAGGGGGGCAAATCCTCAGGGGGGCAAGTGGTTAAGAATACATTCACTGATTTTTTATTAAACATATAATGCAGTCATTGGTATGTTTTTTTATATCTGCCTGGAGTTCAGCCTTAAGGGCACTGCAGAACCCAGCTGTTTGATTGAATACATTCACATTCCTAATGCAGCTGTTTCCACTGTATACTTGTGTATACAGTGGAAACAGTATAAGTGCTAAAAACCCGGTAGCATTGTTTTGGACTTTTCATCACATTTTTATCGTCTGTATTTTAGAAATCTAGGCCATGCTTAGACAATTCAATTTCCAACCTTAAATCTGTAATTTAAAGTCATAACAAAATTAAATAGACGCGTGCTATTAATTTTGTTACGAATCAAAATTCGGACCAATTGTTCGGTATTTGGAGATTCCTAAATTTTGAATCACAATAGTAAGAAATTTCAACGAATCAGAAATAAATTATTAGGAAACAAATTATGTGAATTTGAAAATGAATTTGAATGCAAAATGGAAACATATTGCAATAAATACGGTAAGATAAAATAGTGAAATAAGATGATGATTCCTACTTAGGCTGCTTTATAGAAAAAAAGAGAATAGAATAGAACAGAACAGAACAGAAAAGAATAGGACATAAAAAAATAGAACAGAATAAAACAGACTAGAATAGAAAAGAATAGAAAAGATAAAACAGAATAGAACAGAACATAAAGAATAGAACAGAATAAAATAGAATAGAAAAGAACAGATTTGAATAGAATATAACTGAATAAAATATTATAGCAAATAAAAAATAGAATAAAACAGAATAGAATACAATAGAGTAGAATATGAAACAATAGAATAGAATAAAACAGAACATAATAGAAAATAGAATATAAAATAATAAAGTAGAATAGAATAGAATTGAAAAACACAGAATAGATTAGAATAGAATAGGATAAAATAAAACAAATACAGACATCTTCTGAAATTTGAACTTCAAAATTCAAAATCTGAATTCTGAAATTCAAATTTTGAACTAATTTGAAAATAACTAATATACAAAATAAATCCAAATATTCGAAACAAATTACAAAAACTAATAATTCTAACATAAGGAATATGATGAAACAAAATGACTAAGTTAACAAACAAATCCAAAACTAAACGTATTTTTCCATCATGCTCTAAAATGAAATAAGCTTTGAGTTTTGTTTTACTCTGCAGTTGCATTTTCTTCATAGAGTTATCTAACATAACTGTCTTTTTTTTGTATTATTAGCACGGGATTAAGCCGAACAACATGACTCCTAAGAGAACAATGGACAGTTGCTGTTGACCCTGGTTTTGGATATTCTTGATCTTTGCTTGAGAGACTCTGTGGAAAAAATTTTGTCCAATAAGCTTAAAAAAAAACACTGTTATTCTAAGAAAAAAATCCAACACAAAATGGAGGATGGCTACAGAAACAGTTCAAATTTTTACCAAGGCGCACGAGATATAGCTAGAGAGGTAAAGAGACAGACCAGCAACCAAAACATGGATGATTACTCACGGTACCAAGATAATACATATGGAGGATATTCATCAAATGATGGCTATTATCACAGTGGAGATCATGTCAACCAAGATGAGGATGCCCAGAGTGATGCCACAGAGGGTCATGATGAAGATGATGAGATATATGAAGGAGAATATCAGGGTATACCACATCCTGACGATGTAAAGTCTCAACGTAAGGATACAGCCATAAGGGATGAATTTAGAGACCATGCTGATGTTATGGCCGAGCGGATGGAGGATGAAGAGCAGTTAGCCTACCAGTATGAAAACATCATTCAGGAATGTGGGCATGGGCGTTTCCAGTGGACCCTCTTCTTTGTTTTAGGGCTTGCCTTGATGGCTGATGGGGTGGAAGTCTTTGTAGTTGGATTTGTGCTTCCCAGTGCTGAGAAGGACATGTGTTTGTCACGTTCAAACAAAGGAATGTTGGGTAAGCAAATTAGACTTTTTTTTCAGATCAGTGTAATGCCATTTCCTATTTGTTGGGCATTTTGAGATGTGTTAAAGCTCAACTCTAGCTTTGTTTTGTATAAAATAGAGAAGGTTTAGACCAGTGGTGATCACCTTGCTTGACATACTGTACATTCAATGAATGTAATGCTA